ATATAACTCACCAGACTGGGAATAACTGTTTAAAAACACCAAACAATGACAGATTTACTTTATAAGGATGACACTCAAATATATAAAGTTATGAACAAAGTCAAGTATTTTAAAGACTAAAATGAAAACAATATTGCAAGTAAATATTACTAAATGTCAAATTGAGCCAGTCAGAAGAAACATTTTCCAAATGTTTTTCCTTTTCAATACTTGTGAAGCTAGTAAAAATGTCAGAACAGGCTCTGATAGAAAATAACACCAGGGCAATGATGCATGTGTCAAAAAAATCTCACTTTAACATAAACTTTAGGTGTGTTTTTGCTGCATGTTTTGGTTAAAATGTGTCCAATGTGACTCACATCGGTTAATGTTTGCAAAAATGTTATTTGAAAAGAAGCAATGCAGTATGATTATACCACTCAAATAAAATAAAAACGTACGGTGAAGGAAAACTACTTAGAAGTATATTTTCCCCAAACAGTTCCTCAAGTAATTGTAACTGATTAAATTTAATTAGTCCTCACCTTTTTGACATAAAATATCTTTAAACAAAAGTTTTATTTGTACCTAGAGTCAGGTAGTAACTAGTTACATTTACTTGAGTAACTTTAAAAATTTACTTTAACTTTAACTTGAGTAATTTTACCATGAAGTGTAGCTAATCTTACTTGAATAATATTTCTGGATTCTCAATCTGCAGGAAACATGTTTCAACCAAAAATTCACCAGACACAGACGCACACCTGCAGTTTTTGTAAAAAAAATTCACAATTTTTATTGAAAGAAACTGATTTGGAAACATCTTTATTTGTCTAATTGTGTTATTTTTTTTTGTTACTTACAAGAATTATTGTCATTTTGGTCCTTAAAATACCAAAACCTCTACTTAACCTTATATTTTGGTCCGTCTGATGATGTAATTGCTAAATATTAATTACAATAACCACTTACTCAGTACTTTGAGGATGATTTTTACCAAATAATTGCTTTACTCTTTCGTACGGCTACTTTTTTACTTTTAATTCTTGAGTAAGAATATGTTGAAGAAGTGCTGCTCCTACCGGAGGACAGTTTTCGGGTACTCTGCCCACCTCTGTCTGCATCTCAATCCTAACAATAATACTAGGAACAGAATATTTTGCCAAATTCGCTAATTATAAGAAACGTTTGATGATTTTAGCAGCCCGCTCGTTTGTATAAAAGCACGCAGTACACGAGCGCATGTAAATTCAATGTAAGTTTCTGCTTACCTCGACTGCTCAGGTTGACTGACTTCTGAGAAAAGTTTGCTGCCAGCCTGAGCTCTTATCTTTTGCATCGACCCTCCTCTATTGCTAGAAAAAAAAAAAAAGAAACAAAGAAACGGAAATTAATGAGGATTAAACGCGATTAAACTCAATTGAATTGCTCCAATTGGTAACAAGTAATTCAATTAAGTTGGTTCAAGTCATTTCTGTTAGAGTGTAGACTGGTTTTCCTGGCGTCACTATCAACATGCTAGACTGAGCATAACTTCAGCAGATGTTGACTCTTCACTTGGGTCTAATAAAGAAGCAAGGAGGTTAAAAACTAGCATGAACCACAAATCTCAGAAAAACAGAGAGAGAGTCCTCCTCTCCAAGATGGAGGCTTGAGCTGGATTATTTCAGCCTCTGGTCAGAGGCAGACCCACCAGTGGGTGGGGACATTTAGCTTAGCACTCTTTTCCCGGAAAAAGCCATAACAGCCAAATACAAAAATACTATTTTGCAAAACTGGGAAATTAATTTCAAATGTTGTTGTTTCCATCGGCCTCTACTAATGCGATACTTTCAAAATGCACATAAAAAAAGAAAACACTGATGGGAGCTGTTGAGAATAAATAATTCTGTGTTTTCCTTTTATCTCTTTTAGCTAGTTGCTAAGCTAAAGCTAGAGGAAAGGACATGTTAGGAAATGCAAATGAGAGCAGGTGTAAAGGAGGACACAGTAGGGAAAGCCGTCTTTAGGGCATAGAGGCTAACAAAGCAGATCACAAATTCTTCTGGGTTGTCATTTTGTCCTGCTAACTCCTAAAGGTAGCATAAGAAATAGACCGTCTGTATTTTGGTATTAATAAATGGAATTCATGAATTCAATTCTCTGACTTTTCTTTAACCTCATACATCAAGAACTCAGCATGCAGAACGGATTAATTCTCCACAAAACACAGCTAATGAGTTACAGTAGTCTATGTGTGTCGTAATAAAGACATGAAAGACTTTTTCAAAATCTCCAAAACAGAAGCAGGACTTTACTTTGACTAAATGATTAGCTGAAAGATCTGACATTTGAACTCTCTTGTTTTTCTAGCTTTTAAAAACAAAAACTGTCAAAGAAAGTACAAAGATGTCCGACAGAGAACCACTGATGTTTTGAGTCAGGGACCAAAGAATCTTGTCAGGGTTAAAAGAGTTGTTGTTGTTGTTGTTGTTGTTGTTTTTTTGTTTTTGTTTGTTTTATCTTTATGGATATGCAAATCTAAATGAAATGGGATATTAATAAACTTTCAATAAACAGACATGTAAAACACAATGTGAGATTTATGAGAAACGGAGTCATATTTTGCACCTCAAATCTTTTTAAAATCTCATCTCACTTTTATGAACTCTGTGTTGTGTCTCGTCTTATTTGCATCCTTGAGGTTGAAACTGGAGATTTGCAATGCAGAGCGAGTGAGATTACAAACCCAGAGACGCAACCGGCTCGTTTTAATATTCCTCAAAGCTGCCCATCAAGTGAAGTGCAAATGTGTGGAGAGCTGCAGACCTGTTGAAAAGCATGATCTGTTCAGAGGGAGTCGCAGCGTTTCCTTCTGATTGCTTCAGCACAGGAAATAAGACGGAAACCAGATTATATGATTAAACTGAACTGCTGACTTTTGGTTTAGAGTGTCCTGATTAGGGTTATTTGGTTTCTCTGCCCAAAACACTTGGCATTAATGGAAAACAAACATTTCTTTTTGGCTTTTCGTTGAACCTTGATTACAGAATTTCTTTTTTTTTTCTTTTTTTTTTTTTTTGCTAGAATGCAGCTTTGAATCTGAGAGAAAATCTGTGGAGAGAGCCAAAGATTGGGGTGACAATGAGGCCTTTTCGAGGGTTTGAGTGGTGTAACTCCAAAAAAAAGAGATTTCTCCATTAATTACTGTATGTGGGGCCGTGCTTTGGGACCAGGAATTGTGACATCATCCGTTAAGGTTGACAAAACTGCAATGCAAAAACAAAGTTTTGCTGATAATAAAATCAAAAATAGTCATTCCACTTGACAAGCAAACTGGGTTTTGTCACTTCTCTCCACCTTTTCCCCATCCGGCTAAAAATGGAATCAAAATATTTAATCTAAAAATGCATATTGTCATCCAAATGGTTGATGTGTTTTCATTTAATTTGTGTTCTGTCATTGTTATTTGTGTCTTAGTGAAACTACGTTCTTGGGTTTGCTTCTGAGTGCCAGTAAAGCTACAGCTCAGCCAGATGTGGCCGATACCTTGTTCCAAGAGGCTTTATTTATTCCAAAACCAGTTACTGATCTGATTAATTAAAGGACGGCAATGGCAACTAAGCATTTGGTGCAGGTAAACGAGGAAAGCGTTAGCTTTGAAGAGCCCTCCGACTAGCATAACATCTCTATTTAACATTTGACCGAGTGCTTTTCATTGAAAGAAAGTCCGTTAGTGTGTCAGTGAAAGCCAGTCCTCTGAGTAGACTGTTGCAAATAACAGCTCAGCTACTGTCAGCTCTTTCCATTAGTGAATCTCTATTCCAAAAATTTTAAAAATGCTGCTAAAGCAAGAGTTTGTGGTAACTTTACTATAATCGTTTCTCCTGAGAGTCTTCGGAAAACGTCCAGCCTCACTGAAACAATATTCCTCGTTGAAACCACCATGAGTAAAAACCTCCTTTTGGGTGTGAACTGGTATTTTCCTCAGTGACTCAGTTTCCTTCCAGACGACTGCATCACGTAAAGTGGGTATTGCAAACTGGTTGCAGGTGTGATCGTCTTAGACAAAACGGTCAGCTCAGCAGAGGGTCTTAATGTTTGGAAAGAGAAGAAAAAGTATAAGGAATGGTGAAGTCAGACAAATAGACGATGTTGGTTTAAAAAAGAAAATAAGAGAAGACAGAGGCTCTTTCACTCACAGTGATGCTCAACTCTTACATTACAAAACTGACATTCAAAGACACAATATTAAATCCATCAAGCCAGTGGTTTTAATGTTTTTTTATTTAAAATCAAATGCTTGGCAACACTTTATTTGACGAGATGCGCATAAGACTGACATAACACCTGTTATGAACATGAAGGAGTCTTTATGAATGTCTATGTCAATGAAGTGTCATTCGGTAAATAATGATACTTTTAATGCAAAGTTGCTCTAAAAGTTGCATTGAAAGTCCATTAAAAATGCCAACTTTGCATTAAAGTGTCAATATTTACAAAATAATGCAAAGTTGGGACTTTTAATGGACTTTTAATCCAAGTCTGATTTGTTATCAAAGTTATGCAAGATTATACCAATGTGTACAACTTGGTATAATCTCTTGACAACAAAAGTAATACTATTTATGTCTGAAAACCCCCCAATGTGGCTGAAATTAAACAATTCTGCAAGGAAGAATGAGTCAGATTTCCCTCGTAGTGATGTTAAGACTGATTGATGGCTATCAGAAATGCTTATTGGCATTTATCACCAATAAGGGGGCATTTACTGCTTCTCACAGGGACAGGTTGCAACAGCTGACATGCTGTTAATTGTAAAAATGCTCCATTATAATGTTTGTTGTTCGCTTTGATTTGTGAAGAGGAAATCAAATCTGTGGTCTGCATTGGTGTCCAAACCTCCAGTTTGGGAACAAGTACAGCAAAAGCTTTCATGGAGGCTCAGCTCTACGAACTGAATCAACGCTCTGTTGTCACAATGAGCGTTCAAGAAATCTGAGATGCTTCAAAACAACACCAAAGACAAGAAAAGTAACACAGCTCAAGGTCCTTTACTTTATAAAAGTATACGTTATCTGAAATAAATAATCCACATGGCGACTCAAATGTTTAGTCCCCGCTTGTGGACGACTTCAGAAGACAGACTTCTGAAAACTGAAGCTTCTGATGGATGCCATCTTTAAACCTTCCAGGTAAATCAAAGTACGTTCACCGCTTCAAGCGATACTCTGTGGCGTCCTTGCAGGTACAGCAGGCATGTGACAGCGCAGGCTCTTCCAAAAGTTTCTTTTCAGGTACATCTGAGTCAGTTTGTTGGTTTCAGCAAACGAGTTTTTCCACTCCAGAGCTCCTTGTGTCCGTTTGATGTAGCGCAGTGACTCCGGCAGCTGACTGTAATCGACCGGACCGTCTGGCAAGAGAGAACAGGAGAGGCGACTGCATGAGAGGTGATGCGTTAAAGTGGTTTTATGCACTTTTAAAAGGCTTTCGATTTCCCTTTGGTTTAGATTTTACCTCCAAGTGAAAAGGTTTAGGAAAAATTCAAGTTAACTTGGTAAAACCTGAATGAAGAGGCGTAGAACTCTCTAAAAACATAAAGCGGACGTCGCTTTATTCGTTATCTCAGGATCTTACACAGGAACTAGAGATGCTTGGCTTCAAGCTTTGAGAGAAATTATCTGATTCTTCTCAAGTCGTGAGATAAAACAACAGTTTGTTGCTTTGAGAACATTTTGGTCTAATGAAGTTTGCTGAAGTTTTATCAACATGCTGCGCTCAGACTGGAGTCTGATCAGTGAGAAACTCGAAAATCCTAGATTTTATTTTATTTTTTTTACCAACGGTGAAGGCATCACAGTAAGCCAGGCCGGGGTCAGATTGACAGCATTTCAAAAGTCAAAACATGGAGGCTGACCAGAGTCACTTTGTGTCTTTTTCTCCCCCGCATGGAACATAACAGATGTGGGAAGCAGCTTTTTTAAGTCTTAAAAGACCAGGTAAGGAATTATCCTCTATTAATGTGGGCAAAAATGTTCCTTCTTTGTCTTGCGATGGAGAGCTTCTTGTCATTTGTGGCGTGAACGGTTATTGAAGTGCAGATTAGAGTTCGGTCTTATCTCAACGCTGCAGGGAGTTAAAGTCATGTCGCAATCTGACTCAACCGTACACGAGTGGAAACTTAGAAAAATTTACTTTATTGCAGCAAGTTGTTGAAGAGGCTAAATCATTAGTTTCTTCTTTTTTATATGCACACTGCAAAAATAAATAAATAAATAAAAAATTACAAAGTATTTTTGATCTAGTTTCTATTGCAAATATCTTAGCACACTTGAAGTAAGACAAATCTAACTTTTTGGCAGCCTATAGAAACTTGTTTTAAGTCAACAATTCCTCCATATTAATGAAAATGTACTAGTTCCACTGGCAGATAATTTCACTCATAACGACATATTTTTCCCATAAGCAAAATAATCTGAAAGTTTAAATAGTTTTTCATCAGTATTATGAAAATACTGATTTAAAATAAACTCCTATACATTGCTGAAAAGTTACTTGGAAGTCAGTTTTGTTTTATTTCAAATGCACTAAAACATTTGCACTAGAAATAATTGGTATAATTTTGCAGTGTTTTCATCCTTCTGACTTAAGCTGCACTTCAAATGTCTCACTGGGACCTGATCATGAATATCAAAAGAAATAGTTTAGTGAACATCTGTCTTGTTTTGTGACAGACAAACACAGAATTGGTTGTGTCTCTCAGCTGAGCAGAAATGGCTTTTATGCGTTTCTGGGTCTTACTCACAGATTTTTTTGGCAAAATCACAACAATCTGAGGGCGGGAGAGGGCAGACGTACTGGCATACCGGGGGAATTCCCCAGTGGGCCTGGTGGCCTGTGGATGAGCTGTCGCCTTCACCCTGGACTCATGCGGTTTCCTCTTGTTTTGCACGATGCCTCAAACTACAAAATGTTTTACGATGATGTGTGGCAGTCACACAGTGTACAGGGTGAGAGAGCTGCTTGTATTTGTGTTGAGTGGGAGGGGAGGGGCTACGGACGCAGCAGCGCAGCCAACACTCAGTCAGCATTGAGCAATGAGTACATGAGGATGATTGACAGCGCTAAGACCATCCTCCTGGCTCTGATTTTGTTATTTTTGGTCGGGAGTTGTGCATTTCTTCATACGACAATAGTCTGAATTAATGTCTGAAGCTCAGGGAGGAGGTGAAGATGAAGGTTTTCACAGATCATCAGTCTCTCATGTCACACTGTCACAACATAGTGACAGCTTTAACAAACATCCATCCATCCATCCATCCATTTTCTGAACAACCTTGTCCCTCAGTGGGGTCGGGAGGGGTGCTGGTGCCTATCTCCAGCTAACGTTCCGGGCGAGAGGTGGGGTACATCCTGGACAGGTCGCCAGTCTGTCGCAGGCTTTAACAAACATGCAAAACAAAAATAAAAATGGCATACTGCAGATTTAACGTTCACAAAACTCAAGCGAGAAGACTCTTGGCCCTTACCGACTTCCACCAGAATGACTTTAGGGTCGTTTCGCATCAAGGCGTCGTGAAGGCCCACTTTCTGCTCGTACGTGAGCAGGTTGTGATTCTCCCAGAACTGCGCCGTCTCCTTTGATTTGCCAGCAGACGACAAGACGATAAGCAGTCGGCGGCACTGGCGCACCGCAGCGGAGATGACGTCATGGACCGCTGTAAGACATTAAAGACAAGAAACGCAAGTCGTGACTAAGTGATTACACCAGACACTGCGAACGGAAAACCGTTCGTGTGCAGCGCGTGGCAACAGCTGTCGTAGTTTTGTGGTTACAATCGCACAAAACGGGAGATTTTGGAAGAAGCTGTGCTTTTAAAAGGAAGTGTTCTGACAGGTTGTTACTAGAAAGCTCTCCTTTCCCATGACGTGGTATTTTTGTGGTTCCTGACCTTCTCCAGGGCGGTCGTCCCGGCCTCTGATGAACAGGGAGTAGCCGTGTTTCTGCTCCAGCTCCTCTGGCAGGAGCCGCAGGGTAAAGCAGGCCACGCCGTCCAAACCCAGCATGGCTGACTGACCGACACTCACGTAGGCGTCGTAAAGCTTCCCATCTGGAACTGTTGGAACAACGAGTGATCGTTGTCAAGTTGATTGCTATTTTTGCTGCAGCTGTGCAATAGAAACAAACTGTTTCTTCTCACTGAATGACATTAAATCTCTTTCCTGTTTTACTAAGATATCCTCTCAAGGGATTTGAAACCATGTTTCCAAGAATCTGGTCATTTGGTCCATGTCACGTCTTTGACCCTCGATGTGACCCCATGAGTGGCGATTCCCTGATTTCCATTAAAGCAGCGTACACCCTTTATCTAACGCTCATAAAAATTACAGTAGAACAGAAACATTAAGCATATAGATCCCCCATTTCATTTGCCCTCTGTTAAAATTAATATTTTATTTATTTTCTGTAACTTCTGTTTGTTCTCTATTTTTTATTTATCCACCTTCTTCGATATGAAAATATTTTCTGTGCTTTTTTTGTGTGCTTTGTTTTTATCTCTGGCTTTTGTTTTGTATTGATTTGTGTTTATTACTCAAATTGCCGTTTCATGTCTTTACTTGAATGTCTGTATATGGTGTTCATTGTTGTGCTAAAAATTTGAAATAAATCATGATTTTAAAAAAAGGATTGCCAAAAGTAATTTATATTCCCTGAATGCCAGACTGATAAGAGATATATTTTTCAATTTCTTCTAATCCAGAAGTTTAGATTTGTTCCTTTTAAGATTTGTCTGAATTGCCTTTTAAACTCTACGACTCGGGTCAGCTGGGATTGCTGGGATTTTGGCCCATTCCTCCTTCTGACACAGCTGCTGTAATCAAGTTTGGTTTGTATCTCACATTCACCTTTTCCACTCTGCCCGCTAAATTTCCACTGTACTGAGATCAAGCCTTTATGATGGCCACTTAAAACGTTGACTTTGTTGCGGCTAAGCAACTTTGTAACTAATTTTGGAAGACCCATCGGTGCCCAACCTTTAGCTCCAATGCTGTGAGGTAAACCATCAAGAGTCCTCTGGGCTTTCGCAAATTGTTTAAGAACTTAATATTCTTAATGTCTGATCTCGAATAAGGTGGCAATGGAATATCCTATGATAATTCTGCCATTTAGCAAGTAAATATGGTTTTGTTCAGCCTAACTGACTTAAAGAAAAGGGAAAGTTTAGTCCAACAGTGAGAAGAGATGGCTATATGTCTTTTTATACAGTGTATGTAAAAATCTGTATGATACAAGACGAACTGCTCACCTTGTTTAGAAAACAATGTCTTAAGTGCCCTGTATGCTAAGAAGAGGTTGACTTTACAGATGAGGAAGAAGGCCGTCAGGATCAGGATGGTAAAGAGGGCCGAGAGCCAAAGAGACACAATCATGTAGAACGTGTTGTGTTCAGTTGGGTCAGCTGAGGAAACAAGGCAGACAAACACAAACGGCTACTCAACATGAAGCGTGTAAACAAGAGTCAACAGGTTTTCTGGTTAGACCGGACACCGAGCGATCACTTTAATGCATCCGAGACGTTTGGAGCAAAATACCTTCTTGTAGCCGGACCTCCCCGACCTTCTCTTCAGCCGGGCTTGAGATGTGGCAATTGATGGGGATGTTCAGGAACTCGTTTCGAACTGTAGCGATGGACAGAGTGGACTGACCAAATACTTTGCCTCTTTCATGGACACTAGAAAAGACAGTAAAAAAATCTGTCATTTAAAAATATGAACCCTAATAGACACTGATTACAAATCTGCTTCTTAAACTGCCGTGACCAGTACGATTGAAGCATGTTTTGTACAACAGGTTTTGTCTTTTAAGACGTAAAGTAGTAGGGGCAAGTAGTTTTCATTCACCCCTGTTGTGTATATTGTGTGTATTTGGGAATATAAAAGGTAAAATTGGAGACATTTTCAGTTGTGGCAGGATTTTTAAACAAACTGATCATCTGACGATGAAAACTCAATGTTGAAAAATATTAGGAACCAAATCAATCAAAAAGTGGACAAGGCTGTGATCATTCGGAGCCTTTTCAAGCAAGGCGAGTAAATCTTCATCAGCGCAGACAGAAAGTCGGCATACCTTAGCATGAGGTTAAATTATATTATTACTGGGTTGTTGCTGTAACATCTAAGCAACACTTGTGTAAATTCCTGATATATGGTGGCTTACAAAGGTACTCATACCCCTACAACTTTTCCAAATTTTGTCACATAGCAGCCACAAATCAAAATATAACGTATATAAAGATAATTTTCTTCCTACTTCACAATTGTGTACCACTTTTTGTTGGTTTGTCACACTAAAATCCATCCATCCATCCATCCATTTTCTGAACACCCTTGTCCCTCGGTGGGGTCGGGAGGGGAGCTGGAGCCTATCTCCAGCTAACGTTCCGGGCGAGAGGCGGGGTACATCCTGGACAGGTCGCCAGTCTGTCGCAGGGCAACACAGACACACAACCATGCGCACACACGTAGGGGCAATTTAGACAGACCAATTAACCTAACAGTCATGTTTTTTGGACTGTGGGAGGAAACCGGAGTACCCGGAGAAAACCCACGCATGCACAGGGAGAACATGCAAACTCCATGCAGAAAGACCGGGGCCAGGAATCGAACCCAGAACCTTCTTGCTGCACGGCAACAGCTCTACCAACTGCGCCACTGTGCAGCCGTCACACTAAAATCCAATTAAATATATTCATGTTTGTGGCAATAGTGTAACAAAATATGGAAAGGTTCAAGGGGTATGAACCCCCTTTGCAAGGCACTGTATAGTATTAACTTTGACACTCATGATGCAGAAATTTTTGGCATGGGTAAAAACTCTGGGACAACCAGGTTTACCCTGAGATCAAATGACATTAAGCAGACATGGTATTATGTTGTTTACTAAAGCTGCTTATGTTTCTCTGCCTTTGAGATGCAAGACAAGTTGCAGTAGTGTGACTGCAGCACATGGAAAATGTTCCTGCTGCTTTTCTTTTGACTTGTTTAAGAGCCTCGTGTTTATTTCATCTCATTATCTATCAATGGCGAGTAGATTGACTCGTGACGAATAAAACAACGATTGTCCCCTGGGTCTTCAACATTTCTTCTTCTTTTGCCAACAGCCCCATCCAGGTTAACAAATTTAACCACAACAACATGATAAGACGGAGAGACTCACAATTTCCAGGACTCGGCAAGCCCGCTGATGTCGCTAGCGTATGTCCCGTTGATGATCCAGTACATGGCAATCTCTTCGTCCTCACTGAAGCCGGTGTAGGCCTTACAGTGCAGCTCTGCTCTCTTGCCTGGTTGTCAAGTAAAGTGGCAAACAAACCAAGCAGGAAGTGAATGACAAATCTGCTTTCCCACCAAATCACAGAAGCAAAAACTCAACAAAATGAGGGATGCACAGAACAAAGAGATAAAAACAATGAAGCTAGAAATCAGAATGCTTTGTTTACTTACCCACTTCCACTATGACCACCTCGTTTTTGGGCCTCACAACATGAATCTCTGGAAAGAGATCTGGAGTACCTACAACCACATACATTTGAAAATGATATCAGGGAACAGAAAAAAAAAAAGAGCACAACACTTTATAAACAAATACAAGAGTATTTATGCTGTTGCAGCAAAGACAGATATCAGGATTTGGTGAAAACATGAGGGAGTTGTGAAATTACCGAAACAAATGAAAAACTGGAAACATTACAGGAGCTGGTGGGATTTCTGCCAACCCTTCGTGTGTCCTACATGGAACAATGGCCGCCTCTGTCTGTATGTCAGTACTGTTTTGTCCGTCTGTCTGGGCTAAGGAGTCGAGTTACATGTCAGAAATCTTTACTTCCTTAGAAGAAACTCAAGCTGGAACTGTGACTGGCATCAAAAGGTGCGTCTGGCACAAAATCATCCACAAAAAGAATGCTGAAACACGATGGCTACTTCATTTTTGGGGGTTTCCTTTTCTTTGGAAGTGGAGTTTATGTTGACGTGGGCGGTAACAAATTAGTCCCAAATACCAGTCAGTTACTTTTGAGCGTTTGACTTTGACATCAAAGTGTTCACTTAAATCAAACAGCAATGGATTGTTGCTAAGCACATTTCATGCTTTGAAGGCCTTCAGATCTGAATCTGAAGGAACGTCTGTTGGGCCGTTTGAGGAGAGCTGGGATTCAAAAATCTGTTCTCACAATCTGATCAATCTGAAGAATGTATTAGAGATAAGCAGATGTTGTCGAGTCAAGCTGTGGGGTGCAAACAGACCTTTTACGAAATAAGACCGAGTTCTGAAATTAATTCAAAAAAGCTATTGGTATATCACAAAAATCCTTAACTTTAACTGTCCAAAGTTGAGATATACTGTACCGTTTTTGACAGTCATTTGGACGCTGCGTGCTGCGGTGTAATTCCGGCCGTCTACAGTAACGTCTATGTGACACGTGTATTTTCCTGCATCTGCCTCCGAAACCTCCGCCAGCCTCATGAAGCCGTTTGTGTTCAGAGAGATGGACTCTCCATCCGGCTGCACCTGCTGACAGTCCTGTGTACAAACAAAATGCATTCTTTGTTTCTTTTCTTTTTTTTGGGGGGGGGGAGGGGGGAGAGGGCGGGGAATGACGACAAATTAAATCATTTTTAATTTTTTTACTGTTTGCAAAAAATGATTTAGAGTTGAAAATCACAAAGGAACATTTATCTCAGCAGAAATGTGCTCTTATAAGACTGACAAAGTAGTAATTTTGAGAGAGTAGTCATTGTTTTTCTATTTGATTTTCTAAGCTGAGATTATTGTGATTGCTGCACACAGCATGTAAAACACTGACTGCTCCAAAGATACAACTTAATAAAAAAATAAGAAATTATTTTGTTTATATATATATATATATATATATATATATATATATATATATATAT